TTACATAAAGTCTTTGCATAACATTGCATATTTTGTTTTGTTTTAGACACTGGCCTTATCATTCATGACTGGAAATATTGCAAGGTGAGTCATGTCTCACACAAGATGAGATACAGTGAGTGGGGAAAACAGTAAAATAGCATGACTATGGCATGAGGACTGTCAATAGTGTTTCAATGGATATACTTTACACTTTCTTTGTGATAGAAAGGTTTTGTTTCCACCCCCCTTTTATGCTTTGTTGCCACTGTATTTTTAATATTTGATACTTGCCTATTAATGGGTTTCCCAGACTGGGGTTATATTAATTAAAGGTGCATTGCGCAACTTTTCATGTTAAAAATAGCCGTTTTCTAACCCATACATGCTTAAACAATCGCCTGATGGGCTGAATGAGCCATTCTTTGATCACTGCGATCGCCTCTATAACCCTGTACAGTGAAATATATAAGAGGGATTCGGGCTCGAATCTGAGACTGGGCGTGACGTCATGCGCGTTCACGCTCGCCTGGCTATGTCTGGCAGGTTCGTGTAGCTATTCGCCGCCGTTCTCCGTATCAGAGAAGACAACTCGAGCGACACAACTCTAGTCAGCTTTCCACAAAAGTAGACGATGGATTCAAAGGGGCTGTTTACACCTGGTCACTTCATGTGTCTTCTGTGATCGGATAGCTATTCGATCGTGAAAAGACCAGGCTGCCCTCCGAAACGCATTCGAGACGGATTTGAATTCGATCGCTCAAACCACTTGAGGACGTGGTCTGTGCCGTATTCCAGACGAAACTGGACAAGTGTAAATGCATCTGGTTGTTGAAACCAAGCTATATGTCATGATATTAGTCATATATGACGACGCGCATCACCTGAGCAGCTGAGCTGAGCCCCTTCATCAAGCGCCGCAATCTATCGCAAATCAAAGTGAATTAGTGAAAGTAAGTCGCAGACGCTTAACACTACCATCTTCATTAAAAGTAAAGAAATGAATTGATCTTACCAGGCCTGTTGCCGATCTCTCTTATTGCTGTCTTTGCTGATTTTGAAATTAGCCGATGATTAATAAAATCCAGCTCATATCTGTTGCTTTCGGTGACGTGCACTTCATTAAATCTGTATATGGCGCGGAAAGAGACCGGCTTGTAGCTCATTACAAACCCCAACGCAAACTCTACGTGAGACAGAAAATAAAACTTCTGTCTGTCCAGTGCCATGCGTCGGAATAAGACGAGAGTCAACATCGGGAAGCTTTCAACAAACGGAGAGATCTCCGGTCGGCTCTAGGGCTCAAACGAGTCATAGCCTATACAAAGTGATAACTGAACGTGTTTCCATAATAATTCAATCATAAGTGGATACAGTAAGCACAGGGAGATAGATGGAAACAAAAACCGAAGTTTTCTACTACCCCCGTTTCCCCCTCTCACACACACAAGTGTGTAATTTACTCGAATGCCTTTCCTTTCATATATTTTAAATGACTTGCAGATTTATTACTGTATTACCTCATTATGACTGTAACAAAAGATGTGTGCCGCACAGTGTGCGGCTGATGCTCCTTAGTTATGAACAGCTCGTGCAAACGTGCGTATGTGTGTGTGTGTGTGTTCCTCCATGAACGCGCACAGCTCTGGTTGCAGTTTCGCTTGTCGCCAGAGGGGGCGTAGTTCTGCAAAAACTCAGAGACTTGCGTTTAGCTCCTTTAAGCTCATTGAATCATAAAAAAGTTCAATTAAAATATTTTTTGAAATAAAAGATTTTATAAAGAGATAAGATATAAAAAAATCTGAGAATCCTGAAATTAATTAAATTTTATTTATTTATTATTATTGACCTAATTTATTAACTTAAATACTTCAAGTATATTAGGTCAAAGAGGCTCAGCTGACAAAAAAGTTGGGGAGTCCCTGCATGTAAATATGTAATGACCACAATTAGTACATTTTAATGTGTTTGAAAGACAAAAAGACTTCCAATGTTAGGAATATGTGGTTAAATGACTTGCTGAGTGATTAAAAAAAGAATGATTCATGTTTTTGTCAAGAGCTGGTTAAATATGCAATGTTGCAATATTGAGAAAACACTTCTTAAAACTAGAAGTATTTCTTTAAATCCAGTGATCAAATGCTGTGTGGGTCTCAGTATTCAAAGATAGGCTTACAACTTAGTGGGTGGTCTGTGTGTGTGTGTGTGTGTGTGTATATATATATATATATGTGTGTGTGTGTGTGTGGTTACAACATGGTTTAGGGTTAGTACCTAGTACTTAGTTATTAGTTACCCATTACTACATTAAGTACATGTATGTATGGAAGCTTGTTTCCACCATAGAATGAAAAATATAAAAGGTAATTGCGACCTTTTTATCTCAAAATTCTGACTTTTTTTTCTCACAATTCCGTTTACTTCTCGCTATTCTGACTTCTCAGAATTCTTATTTCTTAGAATTGCGTGATATAAAGTCGCAATTGCGAGATATAAAGTCAGAATTGCGTGATTTAAAGTCAGAATTGCGAGATTTAAAGTCAGAATTGTGAGTTATAAAGTCAGAATTGCTACATATAAAGTCGCAATTGCGTGTTATAAAGTCAGAAATACGAGATATAGTCAGAATTGTGAGATTTAAAGGGTTAGTTCACCCAAAAATGAAAATTAAGTCATTAATTACTCACCCCCATGCTGTACCAACCCCGTAAGACCTTCGTTCATCTTCGGAACACAAATGAAGATATTTTTGATTAAATTTGAGAGCTGTATAACTACCACATTGGCTCCTAAAGGACTGCCTCTTGACGGCCCAGAAAGTCAATGAAGAAAATGTTTAAATATCCCAAGTGACTACCGTGGCTCAACTATATGTTTATCAAGCGACGCGAATACTTTTTGTGCGAAAAAACAAACAAAAATAACGAGTTTATTCGACTATTTCTTTTCTTCCTTGTAGGCCAGAACGAGACTTCCTTATAGATTTCCACGACGCATGCGCGAGATTTGCCATCTGCTCACACCAGCTTACACCACTTCAGATCGCAATTCTCGCGCATGCGTCGTGGAAATCTATAAGGAAGTCTCGTTCTGGCCTACAAGGAAGAAAAGAAATAGTCGAATAAACTCGTTATTTTTGTTTGTTTTTTCGCACAAAAAGTATTCGCGTCGCTTGATAAACATATAGTTGAGCCACGGTAGTCACTTGGGATATTTAAACATTTTCTTCATTGACTTTCTGGGCCGTCAAGAGGCAGTCCTTTAGGAGCCAATGTGGTAGTTATACAGCTCTCAAATTTAATCAAAAATATCTTCATTTGTGTTCCGAAGACGAACAAAGGTCTTACGGGGTTGGTACAGCATGGGGGTGAGTAATTAATGACTTAATTTTCATTTTTGGGTGAACTAACCCTTTAAAATATTCTGAGGGGGGAAAAAGTTAGTCTTTTTTTCCACCTTAGAATTGGCCTGAATTGGTCTTGGTCGCAATTGCGAGATTATATCTCACAATTCTGAGAAAAGATGTCAGAATTTCGACAAACTCGCAATTATGTGTTATAATGTCAGAATTGCGAGATGTAAACTCGCAATTGAGGAAAAAAAGTTAGAATTGTAAGATAAAAAGTCGCAATTCTGACTTTATATCTAGCAATTCTGACTTTATCATGCAATTCTGTCTTTACATCATGGATTTCTGACTTTATATCTCACAATTCTGACTTTATAACACGCAATTGCGACTTTACATCACGCAATTCTGACTTTATCTCGCAATTCTGAGAAATAAAGTCAGAATTGCGAGATATAAACTCGCAATTTTGAGAAAAAAAGTCTGAATTGTGAGATAAAAAGTCACAATTATTTTATTTTTTATTCAGTGGCAGAAACAAGCTTCCATATTTATGTACATGTGAAACGGGACTAAAATAAATTTGTGTTTGCAGTTATTACAGCACTAAGGCTGTGTTCCTGGCGCTGGGAATCACTGTTGTCGTGTGTGTTGCGGTAACCATCTTCTGCTTTCAGACTAAGGTGGGGTGCATATATAATATGAACAGAAGCTTGATTTTACAACCAGGCATTGTGTCAAAGTGTGTGTTAACACGCTTTTCTATTCTTCTACAGGTGGATTTCACTAAATGTGCAGGCTTTTTCACCGTACTCGGAATCGTGGTGTTTGTGACTGGCATCATTACGGTTATTGTGCTGTCATTCAAATACGTAAGCGTGACTTTGCGTCTTTTATTTGCAAAAAAAAAAGTAATTTGATCATATAAAATATAATAATATATAATATATAAAATATTGTTTTCTTTGTTTGTTTCTCAGGTCCCATGGCTTCACATGCTCTATGCAGCTATAGGAGCCATTGCATTCACTCTGGTATGTCAATTCACTTTTTTGGAAGACTTTGGTTCTGCATGGGAACATTGTTCACTCTTTCCATCCTAAAATCACTTTTCCGTTTGTGTTTTTAAATATTAGTTTCTGGCCTATCATACCCAGCTGCTCATCGGGAACAGGAAGCTCTCCATCAGCCCAGAGGAGTACGTGTTTGCTGCTCTCTCCCTTTATGTTGACATTGTCCAGATCTTCCTCTTCCTCCTGCAAATTATCGGATTTGCTGAGAGATAGAAGCGTCAAGCTGGCGGATGGAGCTTTTCTGTACTTTTATAATGGCTTTATTGTTTATTCACTATGCACTGTCTTCTCAGTCAATTCCCAAACAATATATACTCAGATAATACTGAACTAGTAAAATATATCAAGCATTATACTGATCAAACAAAGGGATGAATATAATTTCCATGACTTATTATTTGAAATTTACAAACCATATGTATGCATTATCATAAAATATTAGCAAGATTACATTGGCATTGTTCTGGTCCATGTCGTGGTAATGGATGCTCATTTTTAGAAATGGGTCTGTATTATGCAAATTTCTACTGTATAGACTTAGATTTGCTGTATTTACTATTGAAGTTACATGGGTGTGGTACGTTTTGGACAAGGGTATGTAAGTTTTCTGCTTTGTACATACAATCTAACTGTATTTCAGATTAGTAATTTAGAGTATTTATTTGACATTTTATAAAGAATAAAAAACTATTTCTTAAAATATTTCTTTGCTTTAGTTTTGGGAAGTGCCTTTGAATCTGTTACTACACTTAAATGTCACAGATTGTGATGTACATTGGTGCCTTTTCCATTTTTGTTCAGCACCAAAATTCACTGTAAATAAGTTGTTATAAAAAGTCTTAACTACATCTAAATACATTTGTTATATTAGAATGATGTCATGTAAACGTGTATTTTTGTTACAATGTTCTCAGAACAATGTGACTGAAGTTTTATAGTCATTATTGTAAGGATCGACATCATTAAAAGGAAAACGAATATTATTCAGTTATTTCATTGTTTTTTTATTGATAATATTGGTTGTATTCTGTATGTTTATGATCAAGCATGTTTGCTATATATATATATATATTACAAACCTAAATGCAAAGTCTTCATCAAATCCTTGTTTATAAGATCGAAAGGTCCACCATAATAAATGATTGCTTTCTACAATGTCTTTGTTATATACTGCATGGTCTCCATGGCAACCTGATGATTAGTGTTTAATGAAGCCATTCTTTAGTACAATAGAGTCATTTCACAGAAGTAGAGCTTTCACTGGATCCTGGGGGCTGGTTTATATCGGTTACTCTCGTAATCGCCCTCATTAGAATTCTTCATTCGCTGTCTGATTTTCAGTTGCTTCAGTCGGTTCTTGTCCACCTGTCTCTTTGCCAGAATAAAGCCGATGATTCCAGTAGGCAAGCCAATCATCCTAAGAGAAACACTCAAGTCAGTTGCTACTCAATTCATAGATTTCAGTACTAGTTTAAAAGACTTAAAACATGCAATTTAAGCTGCACTTACCATGCGTATCCAATCTTCATCATTGGATTTTTGGCTTGTCTTTTGGGGATGTACTCAGGGCTGTTATCTTCATCCTCCTCCTCCTCTTCTTCTTCTTCTTTCTTTTGTTGGTTGGTCTTATTTTCAGGTTCAGCTCCTTTCTGTGGTTTCAGAACTTTTGGAGATTCCATCTTGGTGATGGTTTGTAAGGCATAATGTCCACAGTGTAGAGCTCTACTGTGCAAAACATTCTCCTGCAGTCTGGGAAGGGCAACTATCTGCTCAGTGTGTGTTCCTATCCACAAGGTCCTATTTGATAGCTGATACAAACCTGAAAAACAAATGTATATAGGTTGCCAAATAATTTTTAAAGGGATAGTGTACCCAAACATTTTAACTCTGTTATCATTTACTCGCCCTCATGTTGTTCCGAAACTTTAAGACTTACGTTCATCTTCGGAACATAAATGAAGATCTTTTTGATGAAATTTGAGGTGTTTCTTCTGTCCCACTATTGACAGCAATGCAACTACCACAAAAGGTTTATAAAGAAATCATAAAACTAATCAATGAATTGAGCAGTTTAGTCTGTAGAGACACAATCGCTTTATATGATGAACAGATTTGATTTAGGCTTTTATTTGTACATATAAACATTGATCAGCCAACACAACTGAACCTGCTTGATACACAAGAATGAACCTCATTGGATCTCGCATGTCAAGCAAACATGCTTGAGCTTCCTTTTAACATAACTGATGTGTGAGTTAATGAATGAGTATATGTAAATAAAAGCCTAAACTCAATCTGTTCATCATATAAAGCGATAAGTCTCCTAAGGAAATTTTGACTAAACCACTCCATTCATGTGGATTAGTTTTATCTCTTTATGAACTTTCTGAAGCATTAAAGTGGTAGTTGCGAAGATGGTCAGTGTCAATGGAGGGTTAGAAATTGCTCAGATTTCATCAAAAAAAATTCTTCATTTGTGTTCCAAAGATGAATGAAAGTCTTATGGGTTCGAAATGACATTGAGTAATTAATAACGGAATTTTAATTTTTGGGTGAACTAACCCTTAAATAATGGCATGGAGCCTACATTTATTTTCTAGGCAGGTGTTTTCTTACAATCCCAGCACGTTTTGTGAACTCCAACGTTTAACAAAAAACAAAATAACAATGTTGAGCCACTAAGAAAAAGAGTTATCTGTACGCAGAGGAGGCATCTGATCAGGTTAGTAGGTGCATAGGTGTTAGTAATGAGGGTTAAGGGTTAGGGTTAAGTGGGTGCAGATGATGTCAGCAGTCGAACTAGCTATGGAACCTAAACTAGCTTACATATATATATAAATGTATTTCACAATTATGACTTTTTGCATCCAAGTGAAGTGAGAGTTTTTATCTCACAATTCAGCGAGGGAAATGTCAGTAACTGTTTGCAATTGTTGTATCTCGCAATTCTGAGTAACTGGCAGATTTTTCAGAAATGAACTCACAATAGTTCGTCTTCTCAGAGTTATCGTTACACATATTTTGCTTAACCTGTTCGTTGCATTCATTCAGTGGATAACGTTAGTAGATAAATGTTGTATGAATGTCAAACTATCAAGGTAAGCTGCAAACACACCTTAAATTTTATTTAGTAGCGGTGGTTTAAACACATTCTTTAATAGTAAAACAACAATGCCCAGCCAATGCATTCATACGTATAATAATTTAGAAAATTAATTATTTGTAAACCTGTTTATCTACCTTGCAAAGTCGACCTCATCAGTTTCCTACAGGGCGCAGCCATCTTTGTTGTGTAAGAAAGAGAACGCGGAAGTCTCGCTAGTGGTTCTCGCCTATGTGGTTCTCTCGAGATTTCCCTAAAAAACCTGTAGTAAACATCACTTGACTATACTTTGATGTTTTGTTGTACAATATAAACTGCACACACCCACACCCCTAAATATATTATTTAGTTATTTAATAGAATACTTAATAGTTTAATAGAAACGTTTAAAAACTGAATAAGATTAATTCAACGGTGTCCAAATATTGATATTCCTAGTAGGCCTACTTGTTCGTTTTGTGGTGAAGAAGATTCAACATTGATGATTCACTTATTTTATTCTTGTAAATTGGTTCAGAAATGTTGGTCTAGCTTATTCTAATTTAAATACAACCCACATTCATGCACACTCCATGAAATATATTATTTGTAATTACACTGACTCCAACACATAAAGAATTTATTTTCAACTTTTTTATTTTGTTTGGCAAATTTTTCATCCATAAACAGACATTTATGGGCTCACTTCCAACTCAAATATTCTTTGATTGAGGTAAAATCACTGCTTAAACATTTTAGTTTAAACTAGCAGTAAAAATTTGCTAGATTCCTGAAACAATTATTTTGTAATGGGTCTGTTTTGTTTGTTTTTTTTTTTATTATTATCTAGCTCGATAGTATTGTTTCCCTATAAAATGTAGGGTACTTAATCTTTTATTTTCTCCTTATCGTTAGTCTTTTATTTGTCCTCTTATTACTTATTTGTATCTCTTATTTTTATTACTTTGAGATATCTAACTTTACATAATAATGTTTCTTTTGAACTCTTACACTCTCCTGAATGTTTGTATATTTGCATGTTTCTTGAAAAAAAATCTATTTACATTCTTAAGTGTAAATTAAGTGTTTGATTTTAAGATGTTAATCTATAATTGAATTCTGAAAAATTATTCAGCTGGAAGTCACAAGACTCTACTGATGTACTATGTCAATTTATTATAAGTTGGTTCATTTTTAGAAATTAAGTGATGCAAATATCGTCTCTGTAAATACTGAACCTTGTTTTGTATTTGCATCAAATGCACCGACATAACTTAGCCGTGTATTTAGGTAAATTCTTAATCCAGTTTATATTTATTCATCCATGAAAACGTTTGATTTAAAAATTCGATGCAACTGAACGTGCAGTATATTGCCCGACAACTGGCCAATAACATTTTACAGGGTATTCAAAGGGTATAGATTTCTGTTTTAAACACAAAACACACTTTTCACAAAATAAACAATTTTAAAATGTATTGAACACAAGTTACTTTTATGTTATACTTTGACAGCACTTGATCAAAAAAACATGATAAACTGTATATGCAAAACATTTTAGGCATTGTATGTCCAATACCAACATTCTAAAATATTCTAAAACACTATAACAGTCAAAACAAAGAAACATATTTACAAAATGAATTTCCCCCCCATTTTTGCAAGGTCACAAATCCTCTTTTAAAAATGATGATGGATATATCAATCCTAAAACCAGAAAACAACCAATTTACAAAGAGAGAAAGACTGAAGAGAGCTGCTTCCTGAACACCATCTCATCAAACATCCCTTATTTTGAGTTAATACACCAGAAGGTCTAGTCATCGAATGTGTAGTTGGGGTTGACCACCAGAGTAACATCCTCCTGGGATTCTGTTCCACTGGACTCAGCTGACCCTTTCAGACCAGACTGTGTCAGCTCAATCAGAATATAATCCTGATAAAAATATAAGTCAATACATTTTTTTGTTAAAACACTTTTCATGTAGTCTCCATCCCACTTGTTTCCACCTTAGAATAAAGAATAAAAAGCAAAGTGCAACTTTTTATCTTGCAATTCGGACTCGCGATTCTGACTTTATACCTCGCAATTTCAAATTTATATCTCACAATTGTGAGAAAAGGTTCAAAGTTACAAACTCAGAACAGAATTGCAAGGTTATATCTGGTAATCCTAGCTTTTTTTCCCTCAGAATTGTGAATGTCAAATTTGCAATTGCCAGTTATAAATTTCAAATTGTGAGATATAAACATAGGTGAGAAAAATGTTTAGTCAGTTAAAAGGTTCAACCTTTGTGCAACCTTGGTGCAACCTTTTGGTCAGTTAAAAGGTTGCAATTACTTTTTAATCTGTGGTGGAAACAAGCTTCCATATATTCACATATAATTAAAAAGAGCTATATCACATGAAAATGTTTCCTTACGTAATGAACCAGTCTGTAGATAACTTTCTCTATCATTGTCTTCTTATTGATGAGTTCCATTTCTGAATCGATCTCTGACTCGATTTCCTTCAGGTACCAGTTCACAACTTCACTCTTCTTAAGTGCAGACTCGTCCTCCACTAGGAGAAATGGCACAATTCAAATTAGATTCCTCTGTGCTGTGTTTGTCTGAGCTTGTCATGTTAATTGCTAAAATGACAGCTTGTTAAGACTTGTAAAGAGTGCTCACCTTCTTCAGCATGACGCAGATGTAGCACCAACAGGTTTGAAATGCGTTTATACTCGGCAAACGAAAGTCGCAGCGAGGGTTTAGCGCTTTCTCCGTTGACCCCATGGCCGTTAATACCGTTTGTGTGCTCGTGACCATTCACTTCCCCGTTAACAGCTTCATTCACACCGTTAGGTGCGTCATGGCCTAAAATGAGCGAGAAAACAAAGAAATGGTTCAAAACTCTCCTAATAATGAAAGACGGATTTCCCTTTATGCTTGCAAATGTTTTCCAGTTAAAGGTTTAGTTTAGTTGTGGCTTGAAGTTGCTTCCACCGCATAGAGTACTAGCCTGACCTTTATTCACAAATGCGATGTAAATACAAATTGATGATTGACTTTAATATAAGTCAATTTAAATACATTTAAAAGACATATTGGGGCCCCCCGGTCGAGAACCATTGATTAAACCAAGTTAAACTCGACAAAATTACTCAAAATGAGCCTGAATGAAACGTTAAGGTGCCTAGAAAGAGACGACAACTGTACCATTTATCTGATTGTCGTCTTCCTCCTCCATGGCCTCCTCTTCCTCCTGATCCAAATTAATATCAGGAGTCTCGACCCGAATAATGGACTTGTTCAGCAGCCTGAAAGCCTCCTTGACATGCTTAGGATGAACCTAAAAAATAGAAACAGGAAGTTTTAGGAACGTTTTTAACTAATATCTAATAACCAAAATCATGCTCCCGCCTTTCGTTCCCACCTCATCACAGCAGTGCATCCTGGCCATGCTCTCAGAAAGACGGATCAAGCTTTCCAGCTGGCGAACTGTGATCCTCCACGCTGATTTAGTGACTCCGGAGCCGTCCCGCTGTCTCAGACGCTTGTACTGCTCCACGATGAATTCCTCAGACTCCTTTGAGATCTATCACGCACACAGATCGAAACGCAGTTAATAAATAGCTGACTTCGGCTCTATTTACAAACATCACAATTAAATTCAATTTGTGATTTATAAGCTTGTGATTCAATTCAACTCTGATCTGAGCTCATTTCCATATTGATCCATTTGGATAAACAGGATACAGGATATCAACTCAATCTTTTTAACCCAGCCCAAGTATTCAGATTCATTTGCTCAATATTTTGGCAGTATCAGAAAGAATGCAGATGAGTCTTCCTGTCGCTCACCTTTGGTTTGAACTGGCGAGCAAACAGCAAGTATCTGCGAATCTCATCTAGATTGTAGACACGCTCGACAGAATTCTCAATCCTGGAGTGAAGATCCACTATACGCCTGGCTATGGCGTAATCTGTGACCTGAAGAGAGAGACCGAGGCATTTACTAACAGTATAACAGCATCCACAAACATCTTCATATGTTGTTCAGAACAAGCATGCTCATACCTCATTGCTGTCGTCCACCAGGATGAAGAAGAGATCAAATCGTGACATGATGGGTGCCGACAGGTTGATGTTCTGCTTGAGAGATTTAGAGCGGTCGTAACGCCCGCTCACTGGGTTCGCCGCAGCCAAGATGGATGTGCGAGCATTCAGAGTGGCCTACAATTTGAAAAATATTTTTATAGAACAAGTATAAAATATCTTAGCGATTATAGCTAGAAGTGAGAAATATACCCATAGACACAGTAAACTACTGGACTTTAAAAAATAATATGATCAATAAGTCATGGCAACATGTGTTTTTCCATTTTAACTAATCTAAATAATTTAACCAATTTCAACTTAATTTTTTTCATTTAAGTTGTAATGAGTTGAAATGACTTGCATAACCAATTTGATTATACTTAAAAAATAAAGGAAGCAATTGGACAGGTTTTTACAGTGTAGAAATCTGAAAATGTATATAAATTTTGGATACATGGTTACGTTTAGATTAGGGATGCACTGAAATGAACATTTTGTCCAATAACAATAATTCTTTATATTTGAAAGCCGATAACCGTTAAAGCATATTAAGACATCGAACAGAATTCAATTTGGGTTCTCGCATGTAAGATGTCATCTTAACATTACATTACATTTTAAGAAAAAAAATCGGATGTGCGTCAATGGATTAAGTCTTAAAGTGACAGCAGCCTAATATACTGTAAATGCTGCTGTCTATGTCCTTAATGTAAATCAAACAATAACGGAAAAAGATAGTGATTTTTATCATTATCATAACATAAAATGACTCACACTGTAATATAAGGTTTTAGTCCATTCCTAATTTTTTTTTTTTTATTCACAGAGGCAGTGATGCTTCCACATTTTGAACTTTGACCCCTACCTTGACCCCTGCTTTGGTGATGGAGATGGTCTGCTGCTCCATAGCCTCATGGATGGCCACTTGATCTCTCATTTCCATCTTATCAAACTCATCAATGCAGCAAACACCCTATCGACAACAAATATTATGAATATCAAATCACTTGGGTTTTACACAAATAAATCATTTGTAAAAGTTGAACTCACATTGTCAGCCAGCATGAGCGCTCCAGCTTCAATGACAAACTCGTGTGATTCCTCGTCTCTCACCACAGCAGCTGTGAGACCTGCCGCGCTGGAGGCTT